TGATTTCATTTTTCCCAGATCCTCTTTTGTTGCCAGTTCAGAGAGTCCAGGTGGTTGAGTATCAGAGTGTTCCATCTTGTTTCCCTTTGGGGTTGCTGTAGGTGATCTGGAAGTCTGTTTTTGAGGCTTGTTTATGTGTCTTCTCATTTTCATGGAGTGGGGGGTGCTTCTGGTGCCCACTTGGCTCACCTTCTCTGCCCTAGGAGCTTGGGATGGCAGCGGGGGAGCTTCCTTCTGGGTGCTGGGACCGGCTCACCTTCTTGGCCCTAGGAACCTGGGATGGCAGCAGGGGAGCTTCCTTCTGGGTGCTGGGACCGGCTGAGCTTCTCTGCCCTAGTTGCCTGGGATGGAGGCTGGTGTTTATATTATTTTCCCTATGTACATGCAAGTCACAGCGGTCCCATGTGGAATGCTATTACCTTTTCTTCATGTACAGTTTTCCTCCCAGAGTCTCTCCTCCTCCCCTCTTTTCTGCTTCTTCCTCTTCCCCTTCCTCCTCTTCTAATTCTTCTCCTTCTCTTACCTCTTCTTCCTCTTTTCTGGAAGATTTCCTAATTATATCTTCCAACTCTTTATTGAGCTGTCACTTGGCTCATTTTTTTTTTTAATTTTGAGAGGTCTTTATGGTTTTCTGAATGCTCCTTTTTAACAGCATCCTGTTCTTGTTTCATGCATGCATTATTTTTTTCTTTTTTTCCCCAGGATTAACTATAGAGTATCTCTTTCTTCCCCTCTTCTCTGTGTATTTCTACTATCTCTGAGTTCATTTTCATTTGCTTTCTTTCTTTTTTTTTCTTTGCAGTAATATGGATTGAACCCAGGACTCTTGCACTGAGCTACATGCCCAGATTGTTCTTTGAAATGTTTATTTTGAGACAGGGTTTCACAGGGTCACTAAGCTGCCCAGGCTGGGCCTGAACTTTTAATCCTCTTGCCTCTGCATCCCAGAGTGCTGTGGTTACAGGCATGTGTCCATGTCCAGCCCCTCTTTATTTTTTATTTTGTGATAGGGTCTTGCCAAGTTGCCGAGGCTGGCCTTGAACTTTTGATCTTCCTGCCTCAGCCTCCTAAGTAGTTGAGATTACAGGTGTGTACCACTGTGCTTAGCTCATTTGTTCTAATTGTTATCCTTTAAATTAGAGACTTTCAATAGGGAGGGATGAAGGGGTTGAAGGGAGGGCAGGGGAAGGGGGAAAAAAATAAGAACCAAGAGAGTATGTAAAGGTGCATATCTCCAGTGATGAATGTCATTATATTGTACACCTAAAATGTACCAATAAAAAGATACAAAAAAATAAAATATACCTTTTGGGGTCACAATATAGCTCAGTGGTAGAGCTTGTGCTTAGCACACATGAGGCCCTGGGTTCAGTCTCCAGCACCCAAAACAAAAATAATACACATGCACATAGAGAGACACGCATGCACCTGCGTGCACCCATGTGTGCACACACACACAACTTTTAGTAGGTGCCAAAGGTTTAAGGAAAATAGAGATAACATTTTGTCATAAGAATTTTTCTATCAGTAGAAGATGACATTCTTATCTTTAGTTTAGATTTTGCATTACTTTGATCCACCTTGCAGAATGTCTATGTTATATGAAGCTGTAAGTTAGAAAACCCTAAATGAGGGCCGGGGATTTAGCTCGGTGGTTCTGTCGCTTGCCTTGCAAGCGCAAGGACCTGAGTTCGATCCCTGGTACCAAAAAAAAAAAAAAAAAAAACCCTAAATGAGAGAATACAAAATAAGTTGAGAAAGATGTGTATCCCTTTTTTTTGTTATCATACAGCCTTTGTTTAGAGGCTTAGTCACTTGAAAGAATATCTGATGAAGAAGCAGTATATGAAATGTTAGCCATCCTCAATTGTTCCTTCGGAATATCATTGTTATTGCTGGTAGCAGTAAAGTCATACACATCCTATTAGCACAGCTATAAATAAAAAAAATTAACCTAAAAAATCCTTGTACCTTGTTATTTATGTGTTTCACTTGGAATAAGTTGTCAAGAGAAAGTTGTGGAATTTTAACATTTGTATGTCTTTATATTCCAAAACAGCTAATTGGAAAGAAAACAAGCATGCTCTTACTAGTAGGTTTAAAACCTGTATGTGAAGTTGTCTATTTTTCTCACTTTTCCTTTTGACACCCTCCACATGGCCTGCCAGAGTTGTAAAAGCTGCCCTGCCAGAATGGTTCGGATCTTTGCTTTATGTTATCTGGAGACTATAACTTGAACTAAAGAAGGAGAGATGCTGTAGTAGAATTTTACTTATGAGATCATTGAGAGAAGTAGAAAGTGATTTAAAGCAAGGGCGACAGTGCTCCAGAGACCCTGTGTTTCCTGTGGAGCCACCATCCTCACAGCAAGTCATGGGTCATGCTGTGTGGGGGAGCAGCAGGCACTCTGGGGGCCTCTGGAGAACCCTTGTTGATTTCTGTTTCTCTGTTGTTTCATCAAAGGCCAAATGATCACATCCCGTAGGCCACCTTTCCCATTTCATCAGAACAGTGATGGGAAGTACCAAGAAGTCAGCCACTTACTGTTTATTTTCACTTTCAGGGAAAAAACTGTCAGAGTAGTGAGAACGCTGCCTCTAGAGTTCCTACCTCGGAAGGCCCTTAGAAACCTGCAAGGTTCCTAGCATCACCAGAATGCTCCTACCTGTAATGAATACTGAAATGGTAGAGTGCAGTGAAGGAAAATGATGATTGAAATGCTATAAAGCAATGTACTTAAGAAACTTTACTTCCCTTTTGCCATATTACTTACTAAGAATCCACCTCCAGGGAGCCCTATCGCTTAGATTGGAAGCCATTGCTACTGGTGCCTCAGGAGATCTGCAGAGAACAGCAAATTGGTGTTTTTCAGCAGCTCTTACAACTTCCTGGCAAATAAAAAGGAAATTGGTAGATTTCTTGGACATTTTGTAACATCATTCTGACAAACTAGTGCAGGGAACTGCATTAGAAATGTGCATGCAGTAAAGGCATTTCTGTTTTCTATTTTAGGTCCATAGCGTATACAGTTATATGACACATAGCTCCTACCCTTAAGGAGCTGATAGACTACTGAGAAAATGGAAATGTACAGAAATCCTCATATTTAAGAATATTTGATGAGGAACATGTGAGTGCTGGCAGAAAATAGTGATCAGTGGATCAGTTTTTTAAAAAGGAGTTTATTAAATTTTATGATTTAAAAGAAAAATTTGGAGCTTTATATATATTTCATGGTTAAATATGAGAATGAAAGTTTATAAATACACATACAGAGTATGAATTTCAGGGTGTTTTCTCAAGACTTTATGTATGTATTTCTTTGTTATGGTATTGGTGGTGGTACTGGGGATGAAACACAGGACCTTCTCACTGAGCAACATCCCCCAACCCTTTTAAAAAACTTTTTAATATTAAGACAGGGTCTCACTAAACCATTAAGCTGCTCAGGCTGATAAAGAACAAAAAACTAGAGTCATTTATAGCTAAATGGATACATATCGAGGCCATACTCTTAAGTGAAATAAATATTTACACCCATGTGTAAATACCGAATAGTTTCACTAGTGTGAGAAACTGATAGTGTAAACAAGGGTTAAAATGATTAAAATGAATAATTGATAATTTGAAATAGGAAAAAAGGTCCAAAGACAAAGGGGTGAAGGGAGGGGAAGGGGAAAGGAAAGGAGGGAAAGGAAAAACTATGAGAAAAGAAAAAAAAATGGAAATGATGTCTGTGTAAATAGGGAAGGGTGGAGGGGGTGAAGGGTGCACAGGTAATGGGGAAAAAATAAGAACCAAGATACATCATGTACAGGTACAAACACCCAATGATAAGTGTAAACAAATTGTATACCTAAAATGTACCAATAAAAGAACTTAAAAAAAAAAAGTTGCTCAAGCTGGGCAAAAACTTATGATCCTACTCAGCTTCCCAGAGTGCTGGGAACTTGCTTTCTATGTACCTTTTTAGTCAGTGCGGGGGTTGTTACTCTAAGGACATGGCTTCCTTGAGACTTTTCTCCAGAATTTTGTGGATATGTGTATACCTTTAGTTTCCTAGGGAAAACATTGTTGGTTTCCAACAGATTCTTTTTTTTTTTGACTCATGGAAGAAAAACTTTAATCGCTGTTGCAAAAACATTTTTATGAAGTAGAAATTGGTTTCAATAATATTACTAAAGAATATATTCTAGAAAGTGGAGGTAACTGGATGTAAAATCCTGGCAGCAATTTAATAGAACAGTCCCAGATTATTAGGCTGAGGCCAACACCCAATGAGGACAAAAGCCTTGTCTGTGGGGAATCTTGGACGATACCTGCAGAAATATTACACTGTGCATGAACCAAATTGAATTATTTTCACTAGTGTTGTAAAGTTTCATACAGTAAAATTTTTCTACATGCACTTCAATTTCACAGCAAGAGTGGCATAGAATACCTAAACACAGAAGCGAGCTTTCATGCAAGATATCTAACTCCTTGATATAATAATGCATACACTTCAAAATGATTACACTATCATTACATCTAGGGCTTTCTGCAACTACAAGGTGGTGGTTATGGAAAGCATAGCCCCTGGTATCAACATCTAGAAAGCAGCCACCACCTTCTATGTGTGTTCTCTTTTTGCATTTTTTCTTCATTTTTCTTAATCAACTCTGCTGTTGCTGCTGCTTCTTAGAAAAACTGGTAAAAACAAAATTGTAATCACTGAACATAGCACTCTGGCAATCAAGATGTTTAAAGCCTTCAATCTTCTGGGGTGAAGAAAGCACTGTACGACATTTAGAACTCTGATTAACAAACAAGGTGGTCACAAATTTTCCTGGCTTGAAGACTTCCACAACTTTCCTGATCAGGTCATCATAGGTGGTCTGACTTAAGTTTGTTTCAAAGCTAACAAAAGAAAACTCTGCTTCTGGAGTGATGTGAATAGTCCAATAAGTTCCATCCGATTTCATTCCATTCATTGAATACCCAGAAGGATTGAACAGTGTGGCATCAATGACAGAACCTGGTATCAGGTCACAAATTCCACTCTCAAGAGTGACATCCTTTGCAGTAACTTCATCTTTCATGTAGAACTGGTCCATAACTCCTGGGTCAAACTCGCTTATCAGAATTTCCAGGGTCTGATCTGGCTGACTGATTACTCGACTCTCTGGGAAATCCAAAGTATACAAGTACCAACAGTCAGAATTCATACGTCCCATACAATATGCTGCTCCATTTGGGAAAACTGCATTAAGAAACTCTCTTTCTTCCTGGAAATTTCGGTGTGGGTACCCTTGGTGAGAAGGCTTCATGAAATTCTTACGAGAATAAAAGAAGCTTTGAATCGAGTCAAACCCACTGTAATCCCTAGCAAGCTTCAACAGGGGAACCAGTGCTTTCAGTAAGAGGGTGGTACCACATGTCTTCAAAATGAAACGTCTCTTGGAGACAAACATGCTACTCTCACTGAGTACATAAACTTCCTGCTTGTCGGTTTTTGTCACACTTATGATTGAACATTGCACATCCTTCAAAAGTACATCCCACTCAGATCTCGGGATAGTGCAAAGATCCCCAGATCCCTGGCTGGCGTCGGGTTGCTGACGAGAGAACCAAACCTCCATCAGCTTCTCCGTCCCTTCGAAAAAATGTGCAGCTTCCATCACCGTGAGACTAGCGAACAACCAACAACCACAGAAAATCAACTAAATTAAATCTCTTCTTCCGCCCTGCCGCCGCCTCTGCGGATTGTTCCAGCTGTGTTGCTATAAAGTTCAGGTTCCTTTTTTTGCTATAATTTTATATTAACTTTTTTTTTAAAAAAGGATTAATAAAATTTTCCCGGCTTTTTTGTTTGAGCGAAAGTTGAACGTGAGTCTGTTTGGAAATAGAGGCAGATACAGTTCAGTCTGTTGTAGTCTGATGCTTTCCCATTAGAGAGAGTAGAGCGAGCGCTAGCTAATGTCGCCGGCCATACTGTGTAAGCCTCCAACAGATTCTTAAAGGGTTCTATGACTGAGAAGCAAATCAGAACCACCAGTTTATAGACTGTGTCCTGTCTCTGGGCTTTACCTTACCTTTCACTTTTCTTCACCTGTGTTTCAGTTCATTCTCACGTCACAGTTGATGACAGGATACAAATAACTAAATACTTTTGTTTGTTGGATATATTACACTATATTATATGTCATGTTCTTAATTTGGAAAAACAGACAAATTCAGCCTATTACCCATGAGCACTGCTTGCCATCTTCTGGGCACTCTTCCTGCTGGATACGTGGCTATGCACTCCACAGGCATAAATCCACTTCACACTGGGACTTTTCATGAGAGATGGCTGCTATCGGCATTTTATAGAGAAAGAAACTGAGGCTCCATGAATAGCTTCCTAAGACACTCCCTTACAAGTTAGGAAGATGGTAAACTCCCTTTGTTAAACCTGAAGACTGTGGTTCCCTTTCTTAGTATGAACTGTTTTGTCTTTCCCTCAAAAATTTTTTTAAAAAAACTTCTTTGAAATTACAACTTGCTTTTTTGTTTGGTTTTGGTTTTGGTTTTTTGAGACAGAGTCTTGCTATGTAGGTCAGGCTGGCCTTGAACTCACTATGTAGCCCAGGCAGGCCTTCAACTCATGGAGATTCACCTGCCTCAGCCTTCTGAGTGCTGGGATTACAGGCTTGTGCCACCGTGTCCAGCCTTGCTTTTCATAATCCCTTGTGTTTTTCTTTTTTGAAGGTCAAAATGCCTTTTGAAAGGCATATACAAGCTGTGAACATAATCTTCAACATAAAAATATATGTTAATTAAAACCTAGATCACTGCATCAGATTTAGAAGTTGTATTCTTAAAAATTTGTTTAACCATCTTGTAGGAAGAAATTACCACATATTTGGCATCTTTGCAATGTATCAGTACATACAGCAGAATGTGGAAGAACATAAATTGCTAGGAAGGGTGACTTTTTAACACTACACACCCTGTCTTCTCTATCCCTCAACCCAATGTTGCCTATCATGAGAAGTATTACTAATGAGAACTGCTTTCATTGGAACTGTGTAAAATGCAGAAGGAAAGTTAAGAAATATTAGATTATTTGAAATTCTCTTTTTTTTTTTTTTGAGACAGTTACACTATGTTGCCCATACTGGGTTTGTTCTCCTGGGCTGGGATCCTTCCACCTCAGTCTTCATAGTACCTGGGACTATAGGCACATGCCACCATGCCCTGTTATCTCCACTCCATTTTATAGAATTCTGAGAGGGAAGGCACATTGTTTGCAATTTAGGATCATTGATAGGATTCGAAGATAACTTACATAGATTTATTATGTAATTAAACACTTTAGAATATGCCATAAAATATTTGTAGTCTTAACTTTTCTCTTGAAAGTACATTGCTGAACAAATAATAAACACAAGATCTTTTATAGTTTGTTTTTTGTTTTTGTTTTTGTTTTTGGTACTGGGGATCGAACTTGGGTCCTTGAGCTTGCGGAGCAAGCGGCAGAACCACTGAGCTGAATCCCCAGCCCAATCTTTTATAGTTTTAAAGAAATGGGGGGCTTCAGGGGGGGAATGGAATACAGTAAAATAAAATTTATTTTAAAAAATAAAGAAATGTAAATTGTATTTTGGAAGTATGCTTCAGAAACTCACAAAAGTGTGCTTTACTGTTTGGTGTTCTGTTTTGCAATTTTAGGCAAGGCTTTGACATTTCTTCTGCTACAGCCGCCAAGTCCCAAACTTCCTCCACACAGCACTATCCGGAGAACAGCCATTGACCTGATTGGGCGAGGATTCACAGTTTGGGAGCCTTACATGGATGTGTCCGCTGTTCTGATGGGGCTTCTTGAACTTTGTGCTGATGCTGAGAAACAGCTTGCCAAGTATGTGATTTCCAGTGAATTTAGTTTGTTATCAGTTACTCTTCTCTCTCTCTCTCTATCCTCCTTCCTTCCTTCCTTCCCTCCCTCTTTTTGTTGGAGGTCATTGATTAGCTTTCATAAATTTATGTTTCATAAACAAAAAATAGACATCATCTCATTATATGAAATTTTGGTTAGGAAAAATGGAAAAGAAGTGTTCTGTAATTTGACATAATTGAGATTTAGCCCTCACCCAGTGAATAGTGTGTTTACATACTAATAGTGAGTACACTGTTTTCAAATTGTGTGTATTGTATCTGGAGATACTGCTAGCTAACATCAGAAATATTTTACTGATTGAAACCTGGCCAAATAGTTTGAGAAAGTACTACTCCACACTTGTATTAATTTTTAAATCAACTTTATTGAGGTTTCAGTTGCTTACAGTAAAAGACCAGTCACAAGGTTTCAGTGAGCCAGGGAAGCAGTGATGAGAGAGTAATGGAAGAGGAGAAGCAGAGGATGTTGCTAAAATGAAATAAGTGAGAATACACATGGCAACCAACTGGTTAGACATGATAGGGAATGACAGAGCTGCTGGTGGTAATAGAGCCAGAGATTAGAGTTGGTTTAAGAAATCAGTCTCCTGATACCTAGGAGAGTTTTGTTTTTTTATGTAATGCATAAGAAATTTACTGTTATACCTCTCTTAAGTACATATGTAATTCAGTGGCATTAAATACACTCACAATATTGCACAACCACCACTATTACCTAATTTCCAACTGAGATCACCTCAAATAGATACCCCATATCCATTAAGCAATCTTTGTCCATTCTGCTTGCAACCAGCCCTGGGAACTATTAATTTGCTTTCTGTCTGTGAATTTGCCTATTCTGGATATTTCACATACATGGAATCATGCAACCTGTGGTCTTTTGTGACTGTGTGCTTTTGTTACATGATGTTTACATAGTACATCCATATCATTGCTTTATTTCTTCTAATAGCTAACATGCCATGCTTTGGTTATACTGCATGTTCTTTATTTTGATAATAATGTAGGTTATCTCTACCTTTTGGTTTTTGTGAATGGAGCTACTGTGAACACCCATGTATAAATATTTGACAACCTGTTTTCATTTCTGTCTAAAGAGAGATAACTGGGTCATATGGTAAATGATGTCTAACTTATTGAGGAGCAGTCAAACTATCTTCACAGTGACACACCATTTCACATTTCACATGCCACCAGTAATGTCTGAGAGTTCCATTTTCTCCTCATCCTCCTCACAAGTTTTTGTTGTTAGCATATAGTCATTGAAGGGTATGAAATGATAAAAACTTTTTAACTGTCCCATCATGTCTTCCTTTATGAAAATGTGACCAACTCTGATTTTCCCAATGAATGACATTTTGTTATTGTTAACTTTTTTAAAAACAAGAATTCTGTGCTTTTTTCTTCACAGTTGTCATTCTCATACCTCACAGTTTCCTCGGCCTCCAGCATGCTTCAGGGCTGTGGTCTTTTTGCTGACTGCTCTGCACTTAGGTAGCTGAGACCAGAGAAGCAACTAAGGGCTAAGTGGGAAGTTGTGGCTTTGCCTACAGACTGGGCATTCCTTGTCTGTGCCCCAAAATTGATTGGTAGGAGGGTGTTCGTTTCAATCCTAGGCAGCAGCCTCCACTCTTACCTCCTTTTATACCATCCTGCGTCTTGACCTTTATCTCTGTGTTTCTCTAGCTGTATGCTTGGGGCTAAAGTATCTGTTTCTTAAGATTAATATTAAACAAATTTATATCTGCAAAGTTCTTAGAAGAGCACATTTTAAGAGGTTAAATGGATGTCACCTTGTGGTGGTAGTGTCCGTGGTAATGTCATTGCTATGGTCCTAATTCTCAAAAGATCGAGTACTGTCCCATTTCTAGAATGAGCAGTTTGGAGCATGGTGGTTGGGTTAGTTTCTGGATATGAGAGGCAGGATGGTTCCTACCTGGCTATAATGATTAGAAGAAAATGTGAACCCATGAATTTGTGCCAAGAGTGCAAGGCAGGTGGCCTTTATACAAATCTCCAAAGCACATTTTCAACCTTTGGCCTCCCCTGACTGCAGCTGCCACGTGTGCCCTCCAGTGAGACCACAGTGCTGCTGCTATTACCACAGCTTGTCTGGTTTATCTTGAGCACTCTCTAAAATTTTTGATTGTCCCAAATTTTGCTTTGACCTAACTATATAGCTTATTTTCAGATCTAATCTAAAAATAATTTCAATAGTGTATATTATGTTTTGTTACCTTGGAGAAGTGATAGGTTTTTATTTAATTTTAATTTTGCCACTTATAGTTCTATTGTTTTTAAATAAAATTACATTACACTTGTATCAGCAAAATAAAGATTCACTTAATGTAGTAAACTACATGTAGTATGCCCACAGACATAAATACTGTAGTTTTCAGTCGGTAATTTAAATCTTGCTATTACATCCTTTCTGTCATGAAGATTAGTATGACTTTCTATATGTAGCTCTGAATAAATGAATGTATCAGCATGTAGCCTTGAGGAGTCCAATGTAATTTTCATCATGATAAATTGCATAATAAGCGAGAAAATGTTTGCTTATTAATCTATAACAGGATTTAGATTGAAAATGCCTGTTACACCCATGACACAGTAGCGGAAGCTGCTGAGGACCGAGGTGGGGAGAGATGGAGCAGTGGCATGTGCAGAGGGTTAAGCATGCATCTTACCCTGCTACGCTGCCCTTTGTTGTGCCTGATTTACTGTGTACACAATAACCCTGCTCAGCTGCCTCGCTCCTGTCTGCGATGTTAAGCTTGCTGCATGAAGAAGCTTTTATGCTGGGCTAGTACTTTTTAAAATTTCAGTTCACGTTTACTGAAAAAGCAAAAAACAAACAAAAAAACCCCACCATAGGTGGTTTATTCCCATTCTTGTGAGTTTAAGAGGATGGGTCTTGGGGAGGGCCAGCTAGCTTAGGCCTTGTTCTGGAGAATACAAATAATAACAGTTACTTTTTGCCTCTCTCCCATGTA